CAGTAAACTTCCGCGCGTATTTATTATCCCGACTTTTAAGAAGACTTGTGCTACCTTCTTATTTATCATCGCAGTTAATACGCGTATAAAGAAATATATTGAGCATAAAAAAAGTACGAACGAACCATCAACGGCCACTCGCCTGCATTTATGGAAAGCGAAAATAAGCGTGCATAAACTTTTCCAGTTGGTGGGTATAATTCTGTAGATTAGAATGTTCGTTTAAAGATTTATTTCAATCCGATATCCCTGCCCTCCTTCTCTCATTTATTACGTGATTTTCTATCAAAAGTTCAAATAATAAGCTAATCACTTGCTCTTTTCATTATCTATTTTATTGTACAAGCATTATAATAGTAAAGTCAAAAATTATTCATCTGTTAATATTTTGATTTTAAATATATATATATATATATATATATATATATATTTATTTATTTATATTTATATATATTCATAGAATTGTTGCATATGTATTTGTTTTAATTTATTTATATATATCACGTGAAATGGATTTATTTAAATTAGTTGATAAAAAAACGTGCAAATATTTAAGTACATATTTTATTTTAAGTCTTATACTATAAAATTCATGAATGTACACTTTTTTTGAAAAAAGTGTAAATGCATATGTATGTAACGGTGTATGCCGAAATAAATGATGACTCTTAGCATGCTTAGTATCAATGCTAAAATATAAGAAATAATTATATTCAAAGCAGTTTTATAGTTTAAAACTAGACACTCGATAGCTTTTAAACCAATAAAATCATCATATTTGTTTCTGATAAAGTACTGATCGTTTATGCAATAATAGAAATATTTAAGATAAAATTATTCATAATAATTTAAGTAATTCTTAAAAGTCTAGAAAATTTATTAAAAATAATAGAAAAATATTGAAGAAATATTTTCACTATACATTAACTCTAATTTTTTTTAACATTGAATAAAATGGACAATAAGATACAGAATAAATTTTGACGAAGAAAAAATCCACTTTGAATAAATCAGCCTTTTGTCTATGATCGAACGATTTAAATATACTTGTATAAGAGGTTTACGCTCAAAATAATTTATCAGTAAAAATCGTAGGATCAGTAAAATATTTCGATGAACATTAGCCGGATCTTTGTCTTACCTCGTTGGAGGTCGACTCGTCCAACTGGTTGACAATATTCTGCTCGATGACGGAGTGTACAACGATTTGAGATTCCTCCTTCTTTGTCTCGTCACTTTTATACGTTTTGCTTGGTTGTATATCCAAATTGTTCTTATCCATAGATGGCTTTGTTTCGATGGCCGGAGAACTCGCGGATTTCGACTCCCGAGATCCCTCTAAAATGTATTATCACCTTATCTTATTCTTATACCTAATCTTATTATTTAGTCCTATGTTATATTTAAAAACCCATCCATCAGATATTTAATCTCTATTACCGCGTAGCCTTTCAAATAGTTGAAAAATATGTAATTCGTCGCGAAACGACTATTAAACTACCGTTATTATTAAATGAAAGTTAATGGTTTTCTAAAATGCACTGTTGGTTCTATTTATTCTTCGATTGAACTACTTTGACAACGTGTCTGTTGATCGATCCAAATGTCTAGATAATTTAGAAACGATTTTTTTTTTTAATATTTGTGAATATTTACATGTTGCACAATCGCAAATTAGACCTTAAGAGACTTTCTTAAGTCAGTAACTCGCTATTAGTAGTAATGGACGAGTCGAGTTAGGCAGAGTGGAGATTCGATTTTTGGCCCTGAGACGTAAAGTTCAGGAGAAAGCGGCGAAGTAAATGCTAGTAAACGTTCAACTGAGGCCACTGTATTATTCTTTATTAAATCTGCATATTATTGCACTAGCGTCAGGCTCGCAAAGAGTGTTTTTTTCTACAATCATATATTTATTCAATTTATCGTACAATGTAAGTCGTTGTAATCATTTATAAAATGAGTATTTATAAAATGAGAAATTAAATTATACCGACTGTATAAGTATACATGTTTTTTTTAAGGCGATCAAGAACTTTGATAATGTATCGATACGTATATCTTTCAATTTTTTATTTATTGTAGATATTTTCTTTGTTTTGCAAACAAATTATTTTTCGGGTTCTTTTTTAGACGCCAACAATTCAATAACGATTATACCCTTATTATTTTTCAAGAATCACTTACATATAAGTAAGATTTAACATTAGTATTTCCACAATTATGATTTCTATATAATTAAAAGCATAATATTTAATATGAGATCGAGGAAAGGCAAATGTTTTAGTTAGCCGTTGCAAATAAAAATATATTTTAAATACAAGTTTGTTCTTGTAAGCATAAATAATATTATTTTATCCAAAGTAAAACATATATACAAACTTTTAATCTCGTTAATTCAAAAAAAAAAGAAAAAGTGACAACACCGTATTATGTGCCTACATCTAAATTGTATAGGTTAGAGGATGCGCGTGTAATAATTAATCAAAATGTTTTTTTAATATTTAATATTAAAATGCATTTAGATAGATTATAATCGGCACCTACTTTGAAATTAAGTATGCTACCTTTTAGAAACAAATTTTTATTAGCATTTTTATTGTGCCATACAAATATATATATATATATATATATATATATATATAATGCCACGACTTGAATAACAATTTATGTAAAACCTAATAAAATTAAATAAAGTGGGTAACCATTGTCTTCAGTTTATTGTCAAAAATTAAAAAAAAGCAAAACGATAAAAATATAAAATAATCTGTCGCAATTTTAGCCCTTTCATGAAATATTAAGTACAAAGTACAAATAGAAATTAGTCTTTTATATACTAGCTTTATAATAATAACAATAATCCATCTTTTAAAATATTTTTTTCTAAATCTACCCAAATATGTTCAAAGAATTTTGTATTGATAAATATTGATTATTAAATAATGTAAAGGATAATATGAAAGGTTAATATAATAATTATAAAAGTCTCCATTCCTTCCAGAGCTTTAAATCAGAAAACGACACGTAAACTCTGTAAGTGTTAAATTATATCAAATTAATATGAAATTACAGAGTGCATAGTGAAACTGTGTGCAATTAATATCATCAGTTCCATATAAAAACGATTTAAAAATAGCATTTTAACTCAATAAGTAAATAAAGATTATTATAAAATAAGTTTAACAAGTTCAATCTATTATGGCACATGTAAAAAAAGTGATGAAAATTGAAGTGAAGCATAATGTACGTAAAGCACACGTAATACATGAAATACGCTACCAAGTTGACGACTTACCTACTCTATCATTATTGCCGACTTTAATTCATGCTTACCCCCCCCCCCCCGCGGTCTCTTTTTCTCTCACTCTCACTCTCTGCAAATAGATATTTACATGTAGGTGTAAAAGTAAATAGCCCATAAAAATTTCAAATAATTGCTAAAAATACATGTATTAATTCATTAGTTGCAATACTTATTTAGAATTTCTATGTATAATTTTATATCCATTTCAATTTAATCATTGAGATACAAATATTGGATTGCATATTAGAGGTTTGATGGGACAAATTTTTATTCAGGAGTATTCAAATGAATGAATTCGGGAAACGATAATTGAGAATTCAATAGCATATTTTGTAACGCTAAATAGAATCTGATCTGTAAGTATTGTGAATATTCGTTCAATGATTAAGAAATATTTCTACATTGTAGACGAAACATCGTGTTAGACAAGCCAAATAAATTCCCTAGTCAAAATTACCTCTCACTTATAATTAGCAGAGTCAGATGGCTTAAATTTGAAATATTCTTCAGATTATGATGACCGTGGATAAGCTTACCTGGCGGGGCACTTTGCGGACTAAAAACCATCACCGTATTCGCGATGGTGGTGGTGAAGTCGAGAAAACCATAAACAGTTTGGGTTATGTAGTCATTTTTCTCGGAAGGCTCGTTCAACGCCTTGGAAAGTTCTAACCCCTGTGACGTCTCGTTTGCGTAGATTTGGGCCGTGCAGCTTACCACTAAAATAAAAAATGCAATTAATACTGTTGTCCCTTTACGATATTAGATACAGTAGATACTTGGAAACACGAATGAGGAAAAAGTTTCCCAATTAGACGCAACTAACGTGCGTTCTCCGCCCGACAATGGACTTTAATGTTCAATCGCCTGCCTCTCAACGTTCAGCATTTTAATGGTATATTTTGAGCAGCTAGGTGACCTATACCTTATCTATAAATTCACAACACCTTTTCCTTTCGGCCCGTATTACGTGATATAATAAACGCAGATATTATATTTGTGCGCGTTGCAGACTGTATTTAAATATCGCTGAGATTAATATGGTGTGACCTTGCAACCGAGCATTATGACGCTTCGCGATGACCCGCAAATTATGATTTAAGAGCAGAAAAAATGTATAGTGAACACGAAAAACTGTAACGACACTTACCAAGGGCAAGGATAACAAATTGAGCGGGAAGCCTGAACGTCATGCTGCTACTGCTGCTACTACTGCTACTGTTACTCTTTCTCTTGTACATCACACGAATAGCATTGTATGGTGCCTCTAAATTTTACGTATCTGTAAATATCAATAGGTTATTAATGAATTATTAATGAATAACTAATGAATTATTAATGAATTATTAATGAATTGTCAGTTAGATAGAGACGAGCCACGAGAAAATTTTTCAGACAAACCATCTACTGATATATGATTTGCAGCTTGTATAATCTAATCATTGAAAATCGCTGAGTGTCAATTTAGGCTTTGAGTATTTGGTAAATTATGTAAAATTCAATATTCATTTATCTGAGAAAATAAGCACTGTTGATGTGTGAATTGATTAAAGCTTATAATGAATTATATTGTATATATTAGGAAGCGGAAAATTGTAATTATTAGGTTTATTCGAGAATTGAATAATAAAGTAAAACATTTAATGGGTAGTGAGTTGAATGATAGCAAAAATGGGTAGTCGGTTGACATTTATTCATACGTTAATGAAGGGTTGTTATGGTTAAAATTGTTATCTATTACAAGCCTACAAAGTGATTTATGCATTATATCTTAGAAAAGAAAAAAAAATAATGCTCGCGAATACAAGGTTCGTTAAATAGACTTTAGTATTAATTGTCGACGGGTCAATGTAAGTGAAGAACAGCAAAACTATTTCACAGAAGAATCTACCTTAATCATTTAACATGTAACATTGCGCAATAGTAGGTGCTTAGAAAGTATAAATCTCAATGTAATAAACAAGACTTTTATAATTAACGATCATATGACTACACCAATTAAAAATATGTTATCAAAATTGATGAGGTTACTACCGTCATGTTTGTATACTTCGGTACCAATTTTCAAATTTTTACTATGATAAGCTTTTACTCATAAAGAAAGAAAATTTATTCGTTTTATATTATGGAAAAAATTATTTCACTAAAAGATTGAAGGTATTACGTATATAAGATCGAATAATTTTACCAACTGCTTATACATCATTATGCTCTAACAACACGTGTATGGATGAAAATTGCAAGAGATGCATGAAGACAATACAATTGCACTTCGAAATCTATGGACTTCGTATTTTTTAGATTTCTTTGTACTTAGTACAAAATTACAATTTAGTATGTTATTTAAATAAATGCATATATATACTGAATATTCTAATACAGAAGTGATTTTATAGTTTATAAATATTTTATAAATATTTATAAATATATAAATAAATAAATAAATAAAAAACAATCTAATATGTTGCGCGTCTAATTTTCTAAGTTTGTTTATAAAAAAAAATTAACATAATGTGCTTATATTCTTTTATTTTTCATTAAACGTAAATTTAATTTTAATAAGACTTTTTTTTGATAAGTACATATCTTGTATTTTTCATTGTAAAATTTATAAATATGCTCGACGACTTTTATATATTCATTTAGAAAAAAAGATAAAGCACATAATTTTATGAGCTTTGTTGATTTTAAAGTTATCTCGAAAAATATCTTTATAATTAATTTATATAATTGATGTTGATTTTAAATAATATTGTCGATGTTATTCTGAATTTGAGCAAAATTAATAGAAAATTCTGACATTATAATATGTAGTTTATATTATAAACACACAATTGATTTCAACTTTGGGTTATGCATATGCAAATTCATTTTCTAAGGAAGTCGTTGAACGTAGTTGAAACATTCATTAAAAACGAAATTTAAATCATACATTTCTATCAATATTATTACTACAAAAAGTAAATAAAATAATTTTATTTTCATAAATGATGCATCTATTTTTAATAAGATCATAATTTTATATATTGAATTTTTTTCTTATTTGAAAATATGTTGAATTATATGTTGAAAATTACAGGAGGATTGATAATCGGAGGGAAATGCCACATAAAACACTGTATTACTACAGTAAAAATAGCTTTCTATAAGAATTATTTTTTTTATTAAAATTATGCATGTGCAGAACAATATAAATTTATATATTTTGAATGAAAAGTGTTGGAACAAATGTATTACAATCAAATAGAATAACATTTATACATTGTTTAATAATCAGTCACAAATTTAATAATAATAATAATAATAATAATAATGAATAACTACAATGTTATTGTTACATGATCTAATTGATAATAAGCAGCTAAATATTCTATTATTTCTTAATTTTTATCAACTATTTATAAAATTACTCTTCAAATAATGACATACAGATAATGAGAATTGCCCTAGTTTATTATAGAATTTTCTTTTCTAAAATGAAACGAGAATGCTTATGAGCTAATAAGTAAATCCGACCCACACACCAAAGCTCGAATACGCTATTATTCGTTAATATTTGTTACAAATAAATGCCTATAGTATGGAAATGTACATTGGGCATAATAAATTTGCCAAAAACTTGCTGCAATGGAAGCTAACTTTTCTTTCAAAACGAAAAAACAAATGTACAATTGTCAATTTCTAGTTACTTTGCAATGAAATTAATTGCATAAAAACTAAAACAATAATGTTATATGTTTTCATAACAAAAGTTGTTTATCCCACACGTATCGTTGTAATTTTTCTTCGATAAGTCCACAACTACTTCGAAGATTCAATTAATGTAAAAAATTAATCTGATTTAACAATTATTAGATACTTTTATGGTGACAAAAATGACCGATTTAGTTAGACTCGTATGCTCGATTAAATTTTTATTTTCAATATAAAATATTTATTGTTTTGCTATATTATGGTTTAAAGCTGTACACGAACTTTGATACTTCCTCGGAAAAATCGATAAAGTTAATGAAAATATTTCTACTAGAGAGTTCATCAAATCAATAATAGTCTTTGAAATATGTCGATATCTAAATTGAGATTAGTCTTGCTCTTAAATTAAAATTTCATTAATATCACTATTATGAGATTTCAATGGCTTAATGACAATAGTACTTCTGTATAATTTTTTTTTTTTTAAATTTACACGAGTTTAAATTCTTTTAAAAATAAAGTGACTTATAAAGAATTCCATTCATAAGCGAATCATTGTAATTCGTTGTCGAAAAATCCAAACTTACGCAGAGAATAACCTAGGTAAAGCGAGTTCGTTCTCGCTTCTTCGCTCCTTTCACTCTCATTTGACCGGCGCGCTATGCTTTTCCGACCTCGCATCCACGGAAAATTCGCGTTCGATCATTTTCCTTTCGCTGAGATAGCTGTACCAAAATGAGTCACACATATGAAGAAGACTCAGCTCTCGTTTCTCAAGTCCGCACTAGCTTGGCGAATGACGATCAAGCTCGACAGATACAAAAAGGAAAAGAGCGAAAAAGAGAGGGGCAGATGAAGGAAGAAAGAAATAATGAGAAAGATTTTGAAAAAGAAGAAGAAGGATGGTGACAGTACAATAACTTTTGAGCACAAAAGTGCATTGCGTATGAAGTGGGGGGCATATAAAAATGCAGCAGAATACATTAAAATCGGTCACTCGCCCGAATATTGGAAATATTCTCATCGCTGACTCGAAAGCGCGTCTGTGTATAAGTATTTATTTCTTCAATATTTTGAATAAGAGTTTTCAATAAGAGTGCAAGTCCCCGAGTACTTCAAACTTGTAAAAACTGTCTCACATTCATCGGGACGTTAGAGTACCGCATTTTATTAAGCAGCGGTACTTTCATAGAAAATCCTAGATATAGATTGAAATTTCGATTGGTGACATACGAGAAAAGAAAGCGAAATCACCATTTCTTGGATATACGTGACATTTGGAAAGTACGAAAAACTGTGTGAGATACTTAATCGCAAATAAAAAGAGCAATTTATTATAATTAACCTATTCAACGTTAATGTTAATATAATTACTGATTAAATAAAAGTGTAATTTGATTAGTAACATTATAAATAACGTACGAGGCTATCGTTTAAAATTTTTTAAAATTTCAGATACTATCAGATGGTAATTCGCAGTAATTAGAAAAATTCAATAGCTTTTACAAAGTAGTGGATTACGTAAAGTTATAGTAGTTATTTTAAAGGGAATTCATCAAATTTGCCTCAATAGAGCACTGATCGAAAAATACAAAATACTTATACTCATTGCTTTAGATTTTCTTGAAATGCTTACAAGACTAAGGGTGTTCAAATTAATCAGGCAAATGATTGCATAAAATTTTTCCAAATTCCATTACCCTCTAATCCCGTATCCACCGGGGACATTAAGATCAAGGATTGCTAAACTAGATATTATTTTATTTAATTAAATAATATTTGAAAATAGAATTGTCGGCCTAAAATTGACAAATCATTATTTCATTACATTACAGCCATTATAAAGAATAACTTATTTATTGTAATATTTATGAAAACTATTTTTATTATCAACATTTTAACTGTTTATGTATGCTGAAGAATTTTATTATTATATACTAATGTCGTTATTGTTATTGTCTCTGTTGTTATTATTTAATCGTGAGATTTCAACGATTTCAAAAAAGATTAATAAAGATTTTAGCTGAAAAACAAAATTATCTATACGTAATACATAATATTTAAATAATAGTATTTAATAGGCTCTATTAATAACTAAAAATTATCAAGGAAAGACACCATTTTTATTCATAGTCCATAGAATTTTGAATAATTTCGAACGATGTAAGCTTATGAGATAAGATCGGTTCATCTTAGCATTGGAAATTATGTTTCATTCCACATAATTCAAAGTGAAACTTGAAATAAGGAAAGGCCGAATTACGGATGAAATAGAGAATCCCGTTGATACTAGGCTTATTGTAAAATATAATAACAATGTGCAGTCAGAATGTGAAACGAGTTTTTTTTCTGTCTCTTTTCTAACGAATAACTCAGCGATTACACAACCAGTGCTTAACATAAATGTAAATTTACGTTCTTTATTGCCGTGGGTTACACGCAAGTTTACGCAATAGTGAATTACGTATGTGAAATCATAACGTACGTCGCTTTTTCCAAAAAAACATAACTCGCCTTCACCGTTGTTCACGTGAATCTCAAGACCATACCAATTGTTCCCTGTTTTCACGAATCGCGTTAGCCATTCTTGTCCAGAAAAATTGATAGTTTTCCTTCGTCAACGATGCTTCGAGGAGCACATGTAATCGTATGGGACAAACGCTACAGATACTTGGACTATCAATGCTTAAATTCCATGGAGCTAGTAAGAAACATTTGAGTTTGAGGATGCATCTTTATTTTCCGAGCTTCATTTTACTCTAAGCAGAAACTTGGTGGCAGGAAATCGCAAAAGCAACCAGTGACTTCACTATTAACTCTCTTTATTTCGATCTATTTATAGTAGACGCGTGTAAGGTAATCCCTCGTGACTTTCTCGTCACTAATCTCTTATTATTATGGCTTAAGCATGCTCTTTGTACAATAATACATCCCTTGTTCCATTGGTTTTATCAAATACCAAAGACAGAACAAACAAAGCGCGTTCGGCAATGCATATTTATGAAAGCATAAATACTTTCTTTCATATCTTTCGCATTGAAAGGGTAAGCGTAAATTTTTCAGATTTCAAACCAAATGTAAGAACCATAAGCACTGTCGATGAATATGAAAGGAACATTGAACATCGAACATTTTGCATCTGAAGATTATTATACAATAAGAATAGTGAAGCTTAAATTTCAATAAAGAATATCGAGTTTTAGAAGAATATTTGGCATTAATGAATAATCAATTAAATGTGCAATTGACTGCATTCGAAATAAATATTTGAAACGGACATGCTGAGATTGAAGAAAAAAAATGAATTTTCGTTTATGGCTTGTGTGCCCTAAAGACGAAGGGAACCGAAGGAGTGACACGTATAATTGAACTAAAATTAAAATACAAGGAAGCACCATCTACTATTTTTTCCATATATACGGATTTCGTCCATCTCATTATATTGCAATGCCTGTTACTAATTAAGGCGAATTATTACACATATATAAAGGATGGGACTAAAGATTCGTGAGAAAAAATATGAGTTTCGATAATTAGCAAGTTGTTCCATCATTATATACTGGGTTTGCTGATAAAAATCAAGCTGATTAAATTTTTGGTGCCAGTCGGCGAAGGGTAGGGCACGTGAGTTTAGTCGCGTGCACGTCTCGCCTTGAGTCACTTTCGCGACGCGTTCCACAATAATTGCAGACTTATCGAGGGAACAGGACCGCGCACGTTTTCTCATTATACGGCTCGATTGCGCACTACACATGTATGTACAAGCGAGCTTGAGCCAGTGGCAATACAAGACACTTTCCCCTACGTCGATCCAGCAACTTGGCATTGGCGTTGCCAATGGTAGTGGAGGGAATGTTTCATGCCACTCTATATCGAAATTGTCGAAATTGTCGAAATTGTCGAAATTGTCAATCATGTCAAAATTGCAGTGTTCAACGTTCGTTCGCGCTATTATTACAATAGTCCACTAATTTGACAATACTACTGCTATCCGAATACCTTGCGAAATATATAAAGAGTATTATTGGCGTTCAATCAACTCAAACAACTAAGTAGTGCACAATCATTAATGTTCCCGTGCAAATATTAATCAAAAACATTAATAATAAAATAATAGAATAATTATGAGATTTTCTTCATCGCCAACAAGCATTTATTTGCGTATCGGCCAAATTCCCTGATAGACTTTTAAATTCAAACGCATTCCGCCCCTATGGTAAATGATAAAAATGAGAGAAACCATATACATAATGTCGATCTGTAATTGCCGGAGATAATTTTCTTTACGCACGATTGCTTTAATGTCCAATGATTGTCCGTTTTGTAGTCACTGATTAATGGTGCAGCTATTCTACGTCTATTAATTATCCTCAGATTTAAACGTCGATATACACGTGTACTTTTTCTCTAAGAATTCATGGGGCTGGGGTAGGAGCTTCTGAAGTACGTTATTATACGTAGCCGTTAAGATGGTTGTTGAATAATCTAAGGGTGAGTAGGCATTATTATTACCGTCTCGTCCAATCCTTTCCATAAATTCTTAAACGCTAAACTCGGATCCTTGACCTCGTGGACACAACAAATCAATCGAAAGTCGTTGATCGAGAGACTGAGGACAGTTACGCACGAAATGAGACCGATCGTGAGAGTCACGCGTTTCATTGCGTCACGGAAGCCACGAGTTCACGCGGGCTAATTGTGTTTCAACAGCAGCGTCGCATACCGGCTGCCCGACAGCTCACTGTGGCGAATCTGCGATGGGAACTTTTCTTTTCATTACGTCGCTGTGACTGATTGCGTTGTATAAGGGTGCGTGTGTATTTATCTTCCTCGCACCTTGCCAAATCTCCGACAATCAGTTGCTTCCTTACCCGAACGCTTGTAATTAAAGTGGCGAATAGTTTTAAAACAATTATCAATGTAAAAAACTAAATCAATTTGTGACTTGTGTATTATAGAGAACATGAAAATGAAAGTTCGACGTTTATAAGTCCGTTAAAAATTAAAATACTTTTGTCGAATTAAAAGTGGGTTAGAAAAAAGAAGAAAAAAGTGGAACCTCCTCGACCAAACTCCGTATTCACTCTTATTATTGCTTGGGTTATAAATTTTTATTTATACTCGAAAAATGATCTAAATAACAATATATAAATAAATATAGATATAAATAAATTAAATAAATTGAAATCATTTTTATATCTTTGTAAAAATTCTATCGCACAATTCCATTATAACTCAACAATAATAATCTTATTTTATTATTCATATGTATACATATATATATATATATATATTTATTAATATATATATAGAGGCATGAGTAAGTGTTACAAAATCTATTACAAAATTTTAAAAATTAATATACCCACTTTTTTATCGATAGCGATATTTGTATTTAATTAATGTACTATATATACTACATCAAAACTAATCATTTACTTCAGCTCAAAGTTACATTAATAAAACAAAGTTCGAGAAAATACTCACGGTAAACATAAAGAATCGAAGAGTATGGAGATAAGTAACGTAAAACTAGAGACGAGTACTGTTAAAATATCGTTGGATAATTTCATAATGCCACATACTATGGTGTCCTTCTACTGATTTACCCAAGTTTGGCACACAGACCACTCGTTTTACGTCACAATTTTTGTTCATTACGAGGTATCCAACACTCTCATTACATTTTATATTAATAAATATCTGCTCGATGATCGGCGAACCTCCCATCGAAGCAATATTAATAAACGCAAATTAAGGTAGGTTGATTAAATAAATAGAGACAGGCGTGTGTAGAGCAACATATTTTGCGAGGAGTCGCGGTCTTACGTACAAGCGACACGGAACCGGGTTGCAAGGCAGTGAGCAACACTTTCACTCAAATTCCTCAATTGCTTATCACCGTGAATCTTTGGGAGATCGCGTCCGCTACAACGAGAATCTAATATTAGGAAGTTTCATTAATCTCGTTAGATAATTTTTCTGCAATATCACGCCCATATATGTTTTCATTCTTTTTAAAACAATTTAATAATGTAAGATGAGAAGTTAAAACGAAAACTAAGCATACATTATTGGAGGCACCAATAGTACGACGCTTAAGTCGAGCGTAATATTCCACGTTGATTAATATGCATAATAAATAATGTACGTATAAGCGATTTTATAATAAATATATTAGAATGTATTATTAGATTCACTCCAACGGTTCGTACCGCGCTTTCGCACTCAATTAAATAAGTTTCGCAAATAATATATGTACAATCATTCGAATTCACTAGAAATACAATTCACAAGGATTGACAGTGAGTGCGGGAGTGCTATGTTTTGTGTGTGTGTGTGTGTGTGTGTGCGCGCGCGCGCGCGCGCGTGTGTGTGTGAGTGTGTGTGTGTGAGAGAGAGAGAGAGAGAGAGAGAGAGAGAGACTCATATGTATCTTCAATCTTAAGAATCTAGATCTCGATATATATATATCAAAGAACCCTAATTTCATCCCCTATGAGCATCCGAAAATTCGAACACTTGGAAAGACAACATACTTAGTCATCCTTTCGAAATTATAGAATTATCACGACAGTGTCAAAACAGAGATAAATTAAGGCTCGAATAAGATAAAATTAAATGGAAAGGAAATGGAAAGGATCGAAGACTCACCCTGTATCCTCGTTTTAAATGTCGTCGTTGAACCGTGAAGGTGCAGCGGGGCACATTACTCGATCGGCCGCCTCGAAGTAACTGGAAATCGTCTAGGAGTTTGGGATCGTTCGCTCCCTCTGCTTCTCCGTCCCTCCCTCCCTCACTCACACACACCGCACACCACACACACACACACGCACGCACACGAGCACAAAATTCTCCTCTCTCTTTCTTTTACTTGCTCGTTCGCAGCTTCTTTAATACGTTCAATGGCTTTCACTTTGCGCGCTGGCATCGCTACTAAGACTCGATTCTCGTTCAACTAAGAAATTCGCGATAGTAGTATCACGGAATCATTCGAATAATTTTTAAGGGTTGAGCTCCTTGAAAGATGAGCGATAATTGTTTAATGATAATGCATCTCGTAATACGACATAGAAATGTCACTGGTCATCTTTTGCATTTTACTTATCATTTGATTCGATTTAGAGTTCGATTTTAATTTTTACAATCAAATTCGATTCAAAGCAATATTGGTTACAATTTTAACTCACAGACTATGCAACTACACGAAAAACTGACCTGTGTAAAAGATTTTTTAATCTGTTTTTTATCTTTCGTACCAAACGATGAGGTTTCTTTCCGAAAAATTAATGATGATCATTTGATCAATTAAAATTGCAGAAAAGATTAATAGCATATTTTTAATATAATGGAGTTTCCGAATTATGAATTAAATATTCGTTTTAGATTTAAAGAGAACTAAAAACTCATATGTAAATAAGATAATCAAGTTAAAGATATAAAAATTTAAAATAAGATATATTAATAATATTTCATATGTATGTAATTCTATATGTAAATTTGCATAGATTAAAAATTATCGTATATCAATATGATAACATTTTTCTTTAATATTGGGAATATGTTTAGCTACTGATATTTTTATAGGATTTTTATTATTAACGTATAATTTATAATCATATGTTTTTACAGAGAAGTAAATTTGAATATAAATAAATAGTGACAATAATTAGTAATGTTTTATAAGAGTATAAATGGCATGAATTTGTCATAATGTAAAAATCAAAAAATTTTATTTTAACAATATCGTACCACCGTAGAAAAATTAATTATGACCTCACAATGTGAATAACATTTTTTCGATTCTTTTTGAGAAATACAATATGATAATTTGCGAGGTAGATCTAAAATAATAGAAAAATTTAATTTATATTAATTGAAATAGCAATCTTTCAAAAGTGTATAATTGACAAGATAAATCACTTATATTAATAGTTAAGTCTTCTTAAAAATCTAGATAGCAGTTATAAAGCTTAAAAATGAGTCGGAAACTTATGATATAAATGTGTATTATTGTAATTTAGAAATATAAAGCCTTTTCTCATCATCATTAATACACGATCGTAAATTATAAATTTTATTTATAATATTATAGTTTAGATAATTAATGAGATTCCAGTGAGACACCTCCTTGGACTCAAACTTTTTTTATTCAAGGAAGATTTTATTCGTAAAAACATTTTTAAACAGTACTTGTAAATATTTCTATCAAATGAATACTTAATATAACACTATCGATTACGTAACTCAACTATCGCAAGGTAACAATATCAATCAATGAGTAATTTTATCTGAATAATAATTATATACAACAAGGGCTTAAACGTCAAAATCGACCAGAGCTTATATTTAGAATTATAAATATAAATATTTAGATAAAATTACATTCTATATAATCATTAATTTCTTAACAATAGATTTCAAATAATTCATAAAATATTCATTGTCACGTTTAAATATGTCATATATTAATTGCATTAATATATATATATATATATATATATATATGTATGTATGTATAAACAATATGTATACTCATACATGCACCAATTTCAGGAAAAATCATATCTAATGTAATCTGCTCATTTAATAATATATATGAATATATTTCTTTATGCATATTTTTAATAAAGTTTTTACATGCTAAATATAAATTTTACTTAAAATTTTTGATAAATATTATTATATAATTATTAATTTGTGTTCACTCTCTAAGTTTTTGCTTACAAATGTCCATATGTATAAGATCTATAACAATTTCATAATTTGTAAAATTCAAATTATATAAAAAAAAATCTATAAATTATTTTCATCAATTACTTACGTATTTAAAATTATAATTTTATAATTTGAAAATTTTTTAATTTTTATTTATATTACAATTTTTCAGTTATTAATTAATTTTTTCTACTGTCATCTTTCAAATAAATATTATAAATCAAAGATTATAAATGAAATATTTTATTATATAATATCATAAAAAAAAATAATAGAATACAAATTTTTGGAAGAAGTTTATGTGTTTTGCTTTGTCGTTAAGAGATGTCAAAAAATTAATCTAAAACTTAAAATAGAAACTGAAACAAATAAAACACCACATTTGTGTTTAATATAACTTTTATTATATTGTTAAAATTAAATTTTAAAAATTTCTTTCATGTAAATTATTTTATGATATTGGCATATTGGACAGATAAAATTGTTAGACGAAAACTTTGAATAGTGAAAATCATGCAGTTTAGTCGTACAGTCAACATATGATTAGATTTTAAATTAGAAAATTTGCTAGTGTTAGCAAAACTTGTACTCAAATATAATGTTATTGATTGTTTGAAGTAATTATCATATTATTATTAATATGTATTCAATTAAGGATCCTAAAAATTTAGTGTTAACAACATTACATAACTTTTAAAGACTTTAAAAATTATTTATTTCTTTAATTAAACACTTAACATACTATGTAGTGGTGTTAATTATGAAAGTATATGTAATTAATCACTATTTTCTTCGTCTTATAAATATGAACTTCATCTTTTGTAGATATTTTAACACGTATACATTTCTAACTACTTTCCTTAGTCTAATTGATTGAAATGTATACAATATTAAATATTATAATTTATAATTAAGGACGAGTTTATACAAAAGTATGAATACTGTCTGAAATAACACATAATAGTTTAAAATACCAGTAATTATCTGTGTGCGAGGGTATCAATATATTAATAAGTTCTTATTAAAAAGATTGTACAGAATTTCACTGGAAATATATATTGATGTCAGAATAATATACGTATAAGATTATATTTAAAAAATTTATCTTATCTTATGATAAATTTTAATAATTTAATTTATTCACATACAAATCTATAATTACTTATAAATAATTTATTGCAATTGTTATGCTTAAGAATTGTGCAATGAAGAAAAATTTATCGATTATCATGTTTATCCAAATCATAAAATATATCAAATATTTAATGCTAAATAATACACCTAAAGATTTTCAGTAAATATTATTGTCATTTTAATTAAATTGTTTTGAAAACAAGGTTATTTAATTATATAATATCCATAAATGATTTTAAAGAGAACTTCTTATATTTTTATTATTAAATTATAAGTAATGTCTAGTTAAGTTTTTTTTTTTTTATTGAAATTAAAAGTAGAGTTGAGAAGAATTTTTAAAACGCTAAATTGTACGATTTTTTGTAATTTAAAAGCTATAAAAAATATAGAACTTTTCAAAATCAATATTTTTATTAACAACATGTAATAATTTATCCACAGTAATAAGTGGCTTTGAGTTAAATAATGTAAAGCATCAATTAATTTGAATTTACTATCTATAAAGATATTTTTTTGTGAATGACACCAAACTTTTTTCAATATTTCACGAGGAAAGTATATAAAGAAAATATCTAAAATTTTTTGTTGATTTACAAAGAACTATTCTATAATGTAATTATATTTCATGCAATAGTTTCTATGTGAATCGAACAGTTTTGTATAAGTTGTACATGACATAATTTGGTATTTGAACAGTAGTGTCATCATTAATTCTCTTATACGTTTAAATTACAGTGAAATTTCTAATCCAGAAGTAATTACATTGCCTTCTTTAACAATATATTTTTGTGAAAAAAATTATCTATAAATAATATTTATATGCTAATATTTACAAGACATTCCAATGGCTTAATAGATATTGGCTATTTAACATTAAATTCTTATAACTGAACGACGCATAATTAACGATTAAAGTTCAAGATTATATACAAAATGAAGTTTTACGTGGTTGTGAAATTTTGTGAATTTTGATTTTATTATAAGAAGTTGTCTTCAATTATTTATTTGTTTCAAGGCTGGCTAAAGCACAATTGACATAAAGTATAAATTATTGGAATATCACAAATTTTTAATCAAGAGATCTTGATGCTAAAACAGAAGAAATTGAACCAACGTTTAGGCGCGATTAAAAAATTACAATAAATTTACTGACATTGTTATTATCTAATTCCTAATATCATGAGTAGGTGAGATGATTCGATATTACAGCAGCTGACTATCGCTTATCAACGTATTATAAATCATGTATATATATATATATATATATATATATATATATATATGAAATTAGGTTATTTTGGTAGATGATAATAGAAATATAAAAAGTTCGAAAATACAGTCAGGTAAATTTATTTCAGGAGAAATCGAAAGATGGCGCGATACTACAGTCGCTTCTTCCCTGGCATGAAAACCAAAGGCGTTTAACCATCTTCCAATATATCTATATAAACCTAGCTTACGGTAAGCATACTCTTGCTTTATATTGTCATACGCATTGGAAGAATCAATTAGCTTCACTTTCTATCGCATATACCATATTTTAGTGATTGCAATGCGTATCTTGAAAACGCATTGTAAATAAAAGCTTAGTTAATTACGACACGACTTGCTTTTGTCCCGATTCCTCCTTTTTTTTCTTTTTTTTTGTTTTCTTTTTGTTTTTTGTATGTCCGATTAACAATGACAATGAGAAGAAAAGTATCGTTGAATTAGAGTTGTCCCAAGTCTTTTAGAACCTCCGACTTGTCGAGGTTGGGATGTTGTAAGGCTCATTATTAAAATCTACATATATCCAATACTAATGAACGGAATAAAAGATAATTATTGAAATTTTTTAAGTAAAAAAAAAAACAGTATTGAAGAAAAACAAAGAATATGAAAATTATAAGTAAATTGACATGTTTATTTGGTATATGGTGTTAAGTGCATTGTGTAGCAGAGTAATACAATATCTATTCAATATGTAGACGTTAATATTAATTTAATCAATTTCTTTGTATCGTTAAATAATGAGTCAAATTTTAATTTAACCAATTTACATTAGTGTTAAAATATCGGTATAATATAATTTTAACTTATCCGAAAGATAGGCGGATTTATAATTTCTGTAGGATTTGTAATTATCCACTAATAATATGCTGAATATCGTAATTCATCATGGATACGAAAACTACGAAATTCATTAAAAAATGTCAACGCAAACAAAAACGAGCGCAACACAGGCTCGTTAGAGATTTGAATATTGAATACTCCAAAGAGCCAACGCAAGTAAATAAATTTTATTACTGTTACATTTATTTTAAAAGTACTACTATTTTAGTCCCATAAATTATACTTAATAATACTATTTATTATTATTTTTTTAAGTATTTAGCTATTTGTAATGCTGGATTAGTAACTGGTCTTCAAAGAGAAGTTTTGGAACAATTTATAGAAAAAATAATACCAAATTTTCACGTAATAATGCCCCCTGGAAAATCATATTGTTTTATTGATTTCCTCTCGGTAGATTGTTCCAAGGAATTTTACGATAAGGTTCATGGTAATTTAAAAATACCCAAATACAATATACATTTTTATCTATTGTATATTAAAGGAGGTAATGTTTTTAAAAATGTTGATTTTATAGTTAATAGCGGTGTATAAAAATATTAAAATTATTAAATTACAGTTAATTACTTGGAGGACAAGATTGAAAATATATTACCACCTGGATCAAAGTTATGGATTGATTTTATAACTCCAGAACAAGAATCGATGTTAATAGAAAGTATTGATTGGGAAGAACAAGATGGTAAAATGTTTAAATTTTTTTAACGAATGATATATTGCTTTAATTAATTTCAATATCATTTACTTGCAATACAGGTAATACGGATTCAGAATTAAAGCACAGAACAGTCAAACACTTTGGTTACAAATTTCAATATGATAACAATTTAGTAGATATTAATTATCCTACAATACCAATACCAAAAAAATATGAATTCCTACAAAAACTATTTGAGCAGCATGGTTATGGATATTTTGTCTATGATCAAATTACTGTAAATAAATACTTACCTGGTCAAGGTATATTTTATAAATTTCATTTCTCTGTAAATATAGTTTTTTTTTTTATATTTTCCATATTTTACTTATACCCATTTTAATATTTTCAAGGAATACCATCTCATATAGATACTCACAGTGTATTTGAAGATCCTATATTATCCCTATCTCTTGGCTCACCATACATAATGGATTTTAAATACGGTGATAAAAAAATTGAACTTGACTTACCAGTGAGATCGTTGTTAGTATTAAGTGGCGAAGCTCGTTATGCTTGGAGCCATGGTATATGCCCTAGACATAATGATACTATAAAAACTAGTAATGGTTTTTCAACGCGTCCACGTGGTACCAGGATTTCTTTTACATTTCGAAAAATTCGTAAAGATAACTGTACGTGTATATTCAACCACAGCTGTGATAATAAAAGTATTTCAAAAATTACAAAAATTAATAATTCTATAGCTGCTAAACTTGAAAAATCTTACGTACACAAAGTAAGTTATATTTGTTGAACGTTACGTATTTAAAAGTAAGGAAAAATTCATTTTTTATAATTCTATTAGGTTTACGAAGAAATTTCAGATCATTTTAATGAAACAAGATATAAACAATGGCCAAATGTCACAAAATTTATTGAAAATATAGAAACTGGTAGTTTTTTACTCGATGTTGGTTGTGGTAATGGAAAATATCTGTTCGGACATTCAAATATTTTTAAAGTAAATTTGCCATTTATTAGTTAACTTATATGCCGTAATAATTAGTAAAAGATGAATATTTTTATTTTAGATAGGTTGTGATTATAGCAGAGGTCTTGCTCAAATATGTCAAAATAGAGGTTTTCAAATTGTATTAGCAGATAGTCTCAAACTTCCATATAAATCAAATTTATTGGATGTAGTTTTATGCATCGCAGTCATTCATCATTTTACAACTAGTGAAAGAAGAAAGCAAGCTATTTCTGAGATCGTACGAGTTTTAAGACTTGGTGGCCATGCACTTATTTATGTATGGGCCAAAGAACAAAACAAAAATTATGTAAAGTCCAAATATTTAAAATGTAGTACAAAAAGTAAAAAAGACAGAAAAATAAGTGAAGAGGTGCATTTTGATACAACAAAAATCAAGATGATATTGCCTATTCACGAAAATCGAACCGAATTTACTCATAGTGATATGCTTGTTCCATGGAAACATAAAAATGGAGAAAAAGTTCTGCGATTTTATCATGTTTTTGAAGAAGGAGAATTAGAACATTTGTGCTCATTTTTTCCCTCAATACGTATAAATGACGTTTATTATGATCAAGGAAATTGGTGTGTTGTACTAGAAAAATTATAGGACAAAACCGATAAAAAAAAAATACAAATTCCAAATAGAAATGATATTGATATAACTTTCTTTCAAATAAAAACGTGTAATAAATATATATATATACACCAATATAACAAATCGGTATATTTTTTGAAAAATTTATTTAATCCCTAAGAGTATACAAAACAAGCATTTTTTTTTTTTGAAACTAAAATATTTCCTAGAGTAACACAGAAATTTTTTTGTCATGAATGTTTTATTTTCAATATTTGTTTTTATTCATTATCACCATCAATGTATCTGCTTTTCAGTATCAGTACAATTCATTTTTAACCAGCTATATCGTTTAAAATTATGCACATCTGCAAATCAGTATTAAAATATTACAATTTTTTATTTTACATTATAAGTCCTCCAGCTCCCTTTAAAACAGATTTTTGTTAATTTTTGCCTTTTCACTCATCCTACTCCTTTTGTTCTTACACATTGTCGTATTATAATAGCAATCATACAGTCGTATTTTTCATGACATTGTATATGTGGGGGAGACGAAGAGCTTAATGCTGAAATTGGTGGCCAAGTGAAAATGAGAATATTCTCTTCGTTACGTAATTATTATTTTTCTTTTGTTTGTAATACATATCAGTCTAATTATAAAGAAGCAACACGCTTCTTGCATATTTTTTCTCACATATAATTATCATAATCATCATCCTGGCAATAAAATCTTGAAGTAATATAGAGCTTAGCAGCCCTTCACTGTCTTATATAGTTTGCTCTAATCGATGACGATTAGGTAATCTGTACATACTAAGACCTAGGAATGTTAACATTACAAGAAACCACAATAATTTATTATAATACAGCCTGCTGTACACCAGAATGATTTTCATGTAAGACGGTGTGATATATCATACTTAGCACACCAGCTCATCGCTTTTGTCCTCGAACGAAAAACGAATAATATATCGTGTTATTAGATTTTGAGAAAATATTTATAGAAGCTTGTCATTTTTTTTTTTTTTTTTTTTTTTAAAAAACCCTTTTTTTTTTAACAAAATGAATGTTTGTAAGAAGGGGATATAACGATGGTAAATGGCAGGGACCGATATCTTTCTATAAGAAAATGCATGTATATGTGTGTGTTTATGTGTGGGTATATATATATATATATATATATATACACACACACACATTCGTTGGTGTACAAATTTTAAATTAGAATTTCTATTATATTAAAAAATAATAAATTTTTTTTAATTTTCTTAGCCGAAATGAATGCCGCGCTATGTTCAAAAATTAAAAAAAGAAAGTTCAAATTAAATTACATTGATTACTTGTACTAATTCGTTTACAAAAAAATATGTAAATCGAGCGTACTATGTTGCGTTACAACGACTGATAAAACAGATTTCAGCACTATAATCCCCGTTCCAACGATAAACAGCATATTACAATCGAGAGGAGTGGAATAACAATGATTTATGATGCACGCACAACAGACACTCTTTTACTTCCTTCTTTCCGTTCTTTCGTCATCTCACATCTGTGCAATACATTAATAATGAATTATGTGCTATTCGGTCGTGGAGCAAAAATTTCGAAAAAATTTGCTTTGTTTTGATTTAAGAAAGCTGCCTTTGGCTTTCTTTCGCTCGTTACCCACTCGCTAATTAAATATTACGCTCAATCACGCGCGTCGCAGTCCTAGATAAGAGTATCATATAACTCGAGATCGCATTGAAACGTACGCGATTGAGATCGAATCGTACCATTAGTGGTTTTCATAACATCGATATAAATTACACAGGTACAGCGAGGTGCAGCATATCGGCACACTCTTCATTTAGAATCGCAAATAAAATAAAATAGAAAAAAGGTAAAGCCACCATCTCCCCACCTGCGCGATTCATTCAGCCGATCCGAGCATGAGAATTAATTAAAGAGTAAGAAATATAACTGTACAAAAATTGAGTAATTACAAAAACTGCTTTATTATCTTATTAATCGCATACTACGCTGGCACCGAATGAACTGAACTGATAACGTTCCGCGAGCATATCCTCTGGAGGTGGAACGCTCCGTCGATTAATATAATTGTCCTTTCCATCTTATTTATTATTTTTTTTATTTTTTTTTTATTTAATATTTATTAATAACTAAATCAAATGTTTTTATCTTTTTTTGCCGCTTTTTAACATAGAGTGGAGACAAAGTCAGCGATAATAAAGCCCCTGCGCCTTCCACCCCAAGATAGAAAAGTGGGCACCACTATCATTCTCGTTTCTCATTTTCCTTTCTCTATCCTATGCCACTTTACATGTTACTATCAATATGTTAAAATACAAATGTCACTCACACAATCTCCTCTCGCATATCACTCACACATACAATTTTCTTTTAAAATAATTATTATAATCGCGGTTTTTTTTTTAATTATTATTGTGAACAGTCGGGGGACTGGTGGTTAGTTATTTGTTCTCCTAGTGGTGTAAGTACGCTCACGCTAAGGTCAATGGTATGTACAGTAGGTGAGGTATGCATCGGGATCAAGGACACGGGGTGATAGATGAGATTTTTGACGTGCGTCCGCTATTTGTTACTCTCCTTGCTATTCGTCTTCTTCCTCCCATTCCTCCTCGCTTTTGGCCGCTGCGGGTGCGCCAACTCCGGGTCCATCCTTCATCTTCTTTTTATACGCAGTCATTTCCTGCAATAGGTCAAAATAATACGGCTTGAGTACTGATTTTATTATATTTTATTTTAGAGCACACAGTGTCATCCCGGCGCTGTTTACATCCATCCTCCGGAAACCCTGCGATACTTACTCTTTCGTATCGAGCTTTGTCCTTTTCAGCCATAGCCTCATATTTGCCTTTGAGTTCAGGACCAGCATCGGACCATCTTTTTCCGAGTTCCTTAGCAATGTCACCTACGCCGTATTCAGGGTTCAGCATCTTAACCTTACCACGCTCATCGTTGAAGAACCAGAAGAATGCCGCGCTGCAAACAAATATTGTAATTT